GGGAGAAACTCGACACAGTGCTCATCAATGTTTGCTGCTACTGTAAGGCAGGTCTAACTGATCAGACAGCAGCTCAGAAGCGTCTTATTGCCACTGGGAATGAGCAACAGGGCATCCGGATGGGCTTTCGTGATTGTTTTGGCTCTGGCAGTTTCCACGTATGCAGCCCTGGGAATCCTAAAGACAACCTGTCCTGTTCCCAGCTCTGCACCGCCCCATTGTGTGTCCCACACTTCCCTCGCTGGTGAAAGTGAAAACGAAACCGGCACAGACACCCCATTGTTAGGTATGAAATATGTACTGGCCGCTGGAAGTTATAACCAAACAGATCTGGTTGTGTCACGGCAAGACGCTGAGACAGGAGGGAGCTACAGGGGCCTTTCCTGCTTCAGGGGCGTGTCCTAAACTCTTTCTGAGGTGCCCAGGCGACAGGGCTTTGGGGTTTTTCCATGATACTCATGCAACCCTCTTGGTTTGATCCATTCAGGATGCCCTGGCAGCCTCTGGAGGCTTCTGTGAGAGCATCTCAGCTGCCGAAGCTCAGACACAAACCCTGCTGGGTCTCCACAGGAAATAAACATGCATGGAGAAGAGACAAAAATAGAGAATTTGTCTTCTCGGGTAAAAGATGACATGGTTCTCCAACCTCTGGTCCTACTTCACTTCGTCACTTGAGGGTGCCAACTGGGTGTCCTGCAGTGAACAGATGACTCGATGCCCACACACCCAATGGACCTGCATCCAGACAGGTTCTGGAAGGAGGATGTTGCTGACCCTTGTGAGCACCCCACATTCTGGCACGGGTGAATGGTGTCGGCTTCTCAGACGCCAGCATGGGTAAACCCACAGAACTGTCAGTGCCTTGTTCTTTTTTTTTTTTTTTTTTTATGAGACAGGGTTTCTCTGTGTAACAGTCCTAGCTGTCCTGGAACTTGCTTTGTAGACCAGGCTGGTCTCAAACTCACGGAGATCCACCTGCCTCTGCCCCTGGAGGGCTGGGATTAAAGGCATGTGCCCCTCCTCTTCTCGGTCTCTAACGATATATTCACTTGTGTGACTGCTATATTCAGATCTGTATCCCAATTAAAAACAATTTATTTGAATTTATTTTATGTGCATTGGTGTGAAGGTGTCAGCGTCCCTGGAATTGGAGCTACAGACATGTGGGTGCTGGTGTTTGAACCCAAGTCCATTGGAAGAGCAGCCAGTTCTCTTGACCACTGAGCCATCTCTTCCAGCCCTGTCTCCCAATTGCGCTTGTAAGCTCTGAGAGCAAAGGCCGCATCTGATTTAGTTCAGCGTCATCTCCCAGGTTCATGAACAGAGCCTGGTATATATGAGTGACTGGCAATTGTCTACTGACAGAAAGCCACGGCCCCGTTTCCTTTCTTCTCCTCAGCATACAAAATTCTCTGAAATTGAATAGTTTCTTCAGTGTTTACCAAGTGCTAACAACACACACACACACACACACACACACACACACACACACACACACACTTTGCTCCTCTGGTCTGTCTGAGGATGGATACGCAGTTCAAATGGTGTCAGACTCACAGTATTAGATGAATGATATTAAGTAACACAGTATTTAGAGCCATTACTGCCATTAAAAATACCCAAGTGAATTTTATTTCTTGTATTTTCTGTCTAACAGACTTACTAGGTTTATTATTGTCCTTGGTAACTTCTACATGGGGAAAATGTTTTGATGCCATTAACATCTTTAATACTGAAGATAAGGATAGGTACAGAAAAAGGTTTGGAGAAAGGTTACATGTGAAAACATTGTAAAGTTTTTACAAAGACTTCAAGAGTGATTAAAAAAAACTCATACATGGCTACATGTATCAACATAGACAAGTAAAGAAAATAATAAAAACTTCCTAATGATTTCCCTACTTTTTTACTTAGAAGATGTTAATTATCTTTGAAGAACACAAAACCCCTGCTAAAGCTTGCAAACATCAAAACACAATGAGTTAAAACAATAATGTCCTTACATAAGTAGAAGTACAATACCACACATTTCTGTATCACTCTACGTTTTCTGTTTAGGACAGAACGTTCCATTCACCCAGGTGATTAATTCAGCAAAGAGGATTACTGTAAATGTAAGATCCCAACTATATGTGGACCCAAGTTCAAGCTGTCTTCCAGTCTTAACATGAGGCCAAACAATGGCAAGTAACTTTCATTCTTTTGCACAGAAATTCTTGCCAATGACTCAGTCAACACCCTGGTACAAAATGAGCTTGGGCATTTGAAGGTATGTTTTACTACGTCCTTTAGTGTAGTACCAGAGGGTAGCGATGTGAGATACTGAAACCATTAAACACATAAGCAATTCTTTCCCTATTTTTCTTATGACTCAAAATGCATGTGTCTACATGTTGCATTTGTTAACTTATTCATTAAAAAGTATTTCCTAAATGCCCATGCAAACATCCAGGTGGAACAAGAGTATCTCTCTTTAAAAGACTCACCATTTTGTAAATAGGAGTCCCAAGTAACTATCAACAGGACAGAAAATACGAAAGCTATTTCTCTAGGGGCTGGTCAAAGGCTCATGGGTTAGTGGTGAGTGCTGAGCAATCATGAGGACTGGAGTGTGGACCCCCAGTAACCACATAACAAGCCAGATGTCCCACAAATAACAGCTCGGAGAGATTTGACTTCCTCTTCTGGCTGCCTCGTGCACACAGGGCATCCACCCTGAATGCACAAAATCAACCTTGTTTTAAAAAAGAGCATTATGTTGCTAACACTAAGGAAGCAACAGTTGGCTTCATCAGGGGGTTCAAAGAAAAAGGCGGATGAATCGAGCCTTGAAAATAAGCTGTTTACTCACATCTTTCACAGCAGTTAGTGTTCTCAGGTCAGCTAACTTGCAAATCTTTTACCACTCTGCATAGTAAGTGGCTTTCCATTTCCCTTTGTGACATAACCTACTGTAAAATGGGTATTTCTAGGCAGTAGAGTGGAGCCTATTAAAAGAACTCTAAAAATAGCTTACCAGTTCAGTTAGAAAGACAGTGATTCTGTTTTTATATGTATATATAAAATCAAAGCATCATTTTATTATGTGTATTTTTTTCCTGTAAGCACAAAAAATACTAACAGTGGGAAATTTTTAAAATGCAATACCCTAAAAATGGAGAATATACCTGTTAATATTGCCATTAAATTCCAAATATCATTCTTTGGAATGATTTCTTTCCCAGTTGCTAACACCTTTTATCATGTCACTATAGCAAATATAGACCAGACAATACAAAATAGGTATCAAATAATCATAGATCTATGTTTGCTATTGACCTTTTCTTGGGAAATGAAAATATTAGTCTGTATTTTCCTGCTTAAACATACCAACCTTCAGCAAGAACGGTGCATCAACTGATGTAACTTACAAGGTGGGTTACCATTCTTCAAATTTAACAACAACAAAATCAAAACCAAACCAAACTGGTTTTTCTGTTCTTATTTATAGTTCTTAGGGCCAACTGAGTGGGATTAAGATGAAGTGTCCTTCATCTGCTCTCCCAAGAATTCCCTCAATCACAAAGCCTATTCAAACTTCTCCCCAAGGCCCCCCAAAAACAAGGAGAGTAATTTCCTAAGGAAGCGCAAAGCCTACCTCACCCTTCCCACTGGGGAAGGAAACAGATGCAGCCCTTTCTGGTGTAGTTACATAAAGGCTTGCTTCACTCCGCCCAACGCTTAGGCCTGTCTTTTAAATGTCTGCCTGGGTCTTCTCTAAGAAGGGCAAACACAGGGCAAAGAGGCAACAGGTAGGATCTCTTTCCACAGTACAATGTATTTCAAAGACTGCTCCAGAGAAATTCTAGTGCCTTGGGGGAAGGATCCAGAACTGGGGATGGAAGGGGGTTCACAGACGGTGGGGTTTGTGTTTGGAGGAGAGAGGACAAGAGGAAGAAGCAGAAACCTGTCTCTAAGGAGGGTGTTCTTCCTGACCAGGTAACTTTTCTCCACAGTTTCCATTCGTGGACTTCAGCTTATGACGCTGCAGGAACCTGGGGGAGGCTGTTGTTGGCTGTTCTGTGTGGAACGTCAGCCTTATCGGCAGCAAAAGATGCTGTCTCACCCCCTCACAACAATGGCCCGTGATGCCACCTCACATTTCTCAAGGACGGCACCCACCAGGCCAGGTTGTGGTTTCAGAACCTCTTGGAGGCTGAAGGTGGGCTCTACATCCTAAGTTTGAATTTAATGTGTCTGAGGGCAGCATCCCTACAGCTTTATTCTGGGCCCATCTACTGCCCCGCTAGTAACACAATGAAGGAGCACTACCTAGCTCTTTCTATCTGCTTGCGAGTTCGTGCTAAGCAGGGTTTTCAAAGGAATGGGTTATTAGTACTAACTACTGGGGTGCTCTTCTTAGAGCCTGAGCATAGAGTTCAACAGGATGAGCTATAGAGAGGAAGAGAGCTAATTAGAGGAAGTACTGTTATGGCCCCCAAGCTTAAGTTCTTTGCCAAAACAAGGCCTCAGGTTGTCTCTGCTCTGGCCCACGTGAAGCCCGCACCCGGCTGTACAGGTCATTCAAGTTCACTGTCAACTTAAGCTCTCGCGTTCCTGGTGGCACCACAGCCTCAGAGGACTGCTTTATCCCGCATGGGCAGGCAGTGTGGCTGTTTCTCAGGCCAGGTGACATCCCTCCTACCTTCTCTACCAAGGCCCTGTGACAAGCGTTCTTCCGTCATTATCCGTGCAACTCTAAGACTCAAGTTACAGCAAAAAGCATTTAGAAACTTGTAACTGAGTCCTTCCCAGTGCCGGAGATGCCAGCAAGCTATCGCTGTAGCAAACCTAGCCAGACTGTGTCTGCAGCAAGCAAGGCACTTCCACCGTACGTGCCGCTAACAAGTGTAAAAACATCCCGTTCCCAGACCAAGAAACAACGTTCGGAGCACGAAGGGACACTTTGTCGTTTAAAACAGGCAAACTAAGCTTAAGGAATGGGCAGTGCTCTTACTCACCACTGAGGTAAGGGCCATTTGAAAACTATAGATGCGGGCAAGGCCAAAGTCAGCCAGTTTGATTTGTCCGCTGCTGGTCACCAGAATGTTCTGTGGCTTTAGGTCACGATGCACTACTCGGTGAGAATGAAGAAAGTCCAGACCCCGGAGAAGCTGAAACATCATGTCCTAAAGGAAATACCAAACAGACAAAAGTCAACAGGTATTCCAAGCAGTTCAAGTGCTGTAACAGACACTGGATTCCCAGCAGACAGGTGAGATGATTCCCATCTCTTCACGTTCCCATCTTCCAGAACACTGTAAAACACTTAACTCCCAACTTGTATTACATTAGTGAAATAGCAGCTTTAAAATAGTTTTCTATGGTATAAGAAACATTCTGGAAGGCACTGCTGGTTAATGCTGGAGAGGGGAAAAAGGAGGTGGACCCAGGGGAATTCAGTTTACTTTCTATACTTTATTCATTAAGTTATTTCAACAGTCAATATATGGCAAATAAAACATTTAGTATTTTCAAAATCGTTATTTTATAGTACTTATTCCTAAACTGTCACTATGTGTCAAGCACATTTCTTTTTTTTTTTTCTGTTTAGCAACCCATTTAGTCTAAACCATAACATTGAGGTGAATCACTGTATCTTCATAGGTTAAGAAACTGATATATTTTACTAAGTTAGATAATTGGCTCAAGGTCACAACACTGAAGTCTTGATTTAGAGTAGAGTGGTAAAAACAAAAAAAACAAAACAAAAAAACACAATCTAAATCTCTCATCACAGTCCTTGATTAGTTAATGAAGAGAGAAATATGGAAGACAATTTTGCTTAATCTCAGTGTTTTTATTGGGGCCGTTTCTCCAGCCACGATGATGCAGATAGGCCAACATTTCTCCTGTCTTCTCTACCCTGACCGCGAGTTGCTGGCTTCTGATAATGGATGGTACCCTCTGAGCTGTGAGTCCAAATCAACCTCTTCTTCCCTAAGTAGCTTCTAGTTAGATATCCCATAATGGCAATATAACAGGTATTAATGTAGAAAACTGGTATGAGGAGTGAGATTGTTGCTGTCATAAACCTGGCCATGTGGTTAGAAATGGTTTGTAGGAAGCTGTAGGCTAGACAAGCCCTAGACTGCTATTAAGCAGTGTGTAAGCCCAGAAAGCAACGGTAATGTATACAGTAGATTGTAATCAAGAGCTTTCAGATGGAATAATAAACCTACCAGGAATTGAACTACAGATCATTGACAAAATAAATAAATATGACTGAGTTCTGCTGTAGCCCGAATATCCAAGCAAGGCTAAATCCAAACCTTGTGGGATTATCTGGCAGAAGTACTTTGACAGCAGAGCATCCAGGCTGTGGCATGGTCCCTGCTCACTCCATTTAGTTAAGTTTAGAGCAGGAATTCAAAACCAAAAATGGAACAGAACAATGAAAAAAAAATCTGTGAAACTAAGAGAGCAGAGTGCCTTTAGACCTGTGGACAGGGCTGAGGATATGAGTGAGGAGATTAACTAGTGCCAAGAAAGGGAACCCACAGACTTTCCACGAAGACAGTAAGAAAGGTGCTTTGCCTGAGCGATCCAACTCGGAGAGTATAAAACTGTAAGCTCATTTGGAAAGCTTTCATTTGAAGAGAGAACCCTTGATGTACAAGCAATAAGCCCAAATGGAGAATGCCACCACATAGACCCCCTACTTCAAAAGGGCTGCACAGGGCAACATCTCTAGTTTGATGTGCAGAGCCTTGGAGGCCACTGTAGCCACGCTCCTAGAGGGCTATGTGACATCTCAAGCTGGCATCAAAACCTGTCACCCACGTGGCACTGTTTCCAGGCAAGCAGAATGCTATAGTTCCGAGGTAATGGAAAACTCACCCCAAGGTTCCAGAAAAAAGCCAATGTGTAGGAGGAGGGTTGGAGTAGCTGGAGAGGAGATCTAAGAGGCTGACACTGGGAAGCTGTGAAAGTAAGGAAGCCAACATTTCAGTGGAGACTGCAGGAGGTCGGAGATGCCAAGAACGTGGGCATCTGATGAGGACGGCTGTAGAAACTGAGCGAAGCTGGCCTGAGAGAGCCGTGCGCGCTACAGGCAAGAGGCTAGAGAGGTTACTGGAGGTCACGGGAGCTCAGACAATGCCATCAAGGGCCTGCAGGCTGGGAGTGGAGCTTTTTGCCTGACAGGGCTCAGTTCTCCTTTGGTCTACACTTTCCTTGCTACTCTCCCGTTCTTCCCTGTTGAAACGCAAGTGTCTACTCCATGCTACTGTACGATGTAAGAATGCTATTTGTTCTCTGATGTTTCAGGGGCTCGGCTAAGACTCTGCCCTGAGTCTCAGGAGGCTGGAATTTTTGAACAGCGTCTGAATTATTACAACTGGGGATTCTCGAAGCTAGACCGAGTAAAGTTTGTATTAATTATGAGGTGGTCGTGAGCCTCTGAGGGCAAGGGACGGAGTGCTGTGGTTCGAACAAAAACTGTTCCTCACAGGTTCAATGTGGTTGAACATGAGGTTCCCCATTGATAGCCCCATATCAGCGGGGGGTGGGGGTCAGAGATGGGGTGGAAGGGCGGGAGGGGGGCTGTGGAGCCTTTGGGGGGCGCGACTAGCTAGCTGGTCCACTTCCGGCTTGAGCTCTCTGCTTCTAGTTTGTCATCTTATGTTATTGGCTGTCTCATACTTCAGCTGTCATGGCTGTGACCTGCAGCTGCTGCTGTGCCTTCCTCACCATGACAGACTCTTCTAAACAGCGAAACAAAATTAACCCGTCTCCAACTGAGTTGCTTCTGTCCACTGTTTAGTTAGGGCAACAAAAAAATAACTAATACAATCACTAAACCAGTTTGCTGAGAACAACACTGGCTTTGGGTTCACTTACTAGAGTTCAGATTTTTGTCTTTTTAAGATCAAATCCTTCATTTTTCTACCTGTCACATGGAGAAAATAGCATTTACTTTTCCTAATAGGAGGTTCAAATCAGCACATGCAACACAGGGGTGTATATATAGTTTCAGGCACATGGTAAGCATTTAACAGATGGGACTTGTTAAGATGAGAATGGCGGCATTGTCTCCTATTTTCTGGGAGAGCCAGATTCACAAAACTAAAGGAATATGCAGCCAACTGTAAGGTTAGCATGAACAAGGAGCTAAGGGGGGACACGAAATGATACAGGAGTATGGACATGATTTCTGAGACCCCCTAGTGGGCATTCTGAGCGGGCAGGCGCTACACTCTATGTGGGGATCTTGGAGGAGAGCTACGGTGATGAAGATACTGCAAACCCAGGCACCAAATGAAGACATGGCTCCCACTCCACAAACAACAGGAAGGAAGGAACGAACTACAGCATCATTCGGTTAAGACTCTGTTTCAGGCACAGAACTATTTTTATAAAGAATTCAAAGGACTGTCTATCTGCTTCATCTCACTTTATAGCAGTGGTTCTCAACTGGTAGGTGGAGACCCCGGGGGTTGGGGGGGTGTCGAACGACCTTTTCACAGGGGTCACAGATCAGATACACTGTATCAGATATTTATACAAGGATTCATAGCAGTGGCAAATTTACAGTTATGAAGTAGCAACTTGGAAATAATCTTATGTTTGGGGGGAGTCACCACAACATGAGGAACTCTATTAAAGGGTGGCAGCATCAGAGAGGTTGAGACCCATGGTTTTACCGGCACACTTTCAGTCAGCTCAAGACTGTAATCTAAATTAGCCTGTCTTACAGAAGTCCCAAATCCCCCACAGCAGTCCAAAGGCAGTGAACGTAGGGGTGCTCCCAACTTGGCTCTTTGAGATAACCACACCTTGAGACATCTCCCTGTTACTCATCAAGCACAGTCTGGGTACAAATGGCCTGACCATCTAGTTATTCTCATGGAGAGTTAACATGGGCCTTACTCTTTCTTCTAAGCCACGTGGCAGGAAGTGTCACCATAGGACACTAGGGTGGACAGAGTCTGGCCCTGGGTGACAGCGGCTTATAATGAACTCAGTCATTGGCCACTCCTTCAAAGGCTTCAGACCTCATTCTGAATACCAGGAATTCTAGGTCTTGCAAATCACATGTTTCTTTTAGGCGTTCTAGAGGCTGACTCTGCTTATTTCTTTAAATAAAAATAAACAAACTAAAACTCTTCCTGAAACGTTTAATTGGAAAAAAACTTTATAATAGTGTCATACTACAGATGGCACAGGTTAAATAATTTCCTAATGGTACTGAAATACCAGCATAAACCTTCTCACCAATCTCAGAAATGGCAGCTTTAAAATGAATAATTCTGGTGATACATAAACACACACACACCATTCGTACACATACACACACGCCACACATGCCATACACACACATACACACCATCCATACATACACACACATACACACCATCCACACATACACACATGCCATACATACATACACACACACACACCATCCACACACACACACACACACGCCATACACACATATATATTGTTTTATATATTTATTATTGGGTTATTTATGTTCTCAAAGAATATACAAACATTTATTTATTCAAAAACTAAGAGTAAGACACAATTTATAGACAGTACTACTTATTTCTCACCTTATAATGCACAAGCCATGTTCTTTTTTACTAGCATAATGTTTTTATTATCTGGATATTTCACACAACCCACCTCAATCACACTCACTTCCCAGTCCTCTCAGGCCCACCCCCCCCCCACTCTCGTGACCTCCCCCAAAACAAAAGAAGAAAAAAGAAAAAAATACTGAGTCTATTCTGTTTTGTCCACATATTTACTGGGGCAAGGTCAAACTCCCTGTGGCCAGCCCCTTAAAGAAAACTGAGTCCTTCCCCACTCCACCCCACCCGAAGCCATTAACTGGGAAGAGTTACACTTCAATATCCCTATCACAATTTTTTTTTGGGGGGGTTTGAGACAGGGTTTCTCTGTGGCTTTGGAGGCTGTCCTGGAACTAGCTCTTGTAGACCAGGCTGGTCTCGAACTCACAGAGATCCGCCTGCCTTTGCCTCCTGAGTGCTGGGATTAAAGGCATGCACCACCAACACCCAGCTTCCTATCACAATTTTTAAGAGTTCCCTTCAATGGCTCTGTGTCTCGACTGTTTCTTTTGTTTGAGGGGGGAGGGGGTAGAAACCGTGTATGCCTTCCA